GTTCATACAACATGAACAAGTTTCTGACTAATTGTAAAAAATATTCTGAAATCAGGAAGTTTCCAAGAGTCTGATCAGTGATCATAGACATCAGCTATAGCTGGGGCATACAGAAATGAGAGAGGAAAGGAGGGGGAATTGTGTTCAATGACAAGAATAATTTTGTTTTTAATTTTAACTGCCATGACTCTACATCTAAGCTTCTGTAGTGTTTCCTGCAATTTACCGATACACCTCCGCTCCACCCCCAAAAGGGAGATGTGTAAATAGGTACACAGAATGAGAAATAACATCATCTAGTGTTTGGTCTTAGTCGTGAATCATAAAATTTGTAATACATACCCCTGGTAAATGTTGTAAGGATTTTTTGAAAATAACACTTAAGTTAAACAAGGGCACCACAAAGCGGAGTATTCCCTTGCAAAGAGTATATCTTTAAGTCAAGACAACATTCGACATCGATCCTGATGCAAATTACGTCACTTCCATTTAACACACCACTCACTAAAAACACACACTCACAAACACACACACAAAAGCGTGTTGCTATATCCCCTCCAACTCTGTTGCGAGTGGATAATACTAGTAATAAGGTATATAATGTACCCACTAAGGAAAATATTGGCAGCCTCAGCAACATCAAAAACAAAATTAAAAAAAAATTAATGAAATGATATAAAAGAAGAAAAAAAAAACATTGACAATTTTGTCCATCGTAACAATTTATGTTATTTTATCAACAGAATCAAGTTGACAGCATCCTGCTTGAGTTGTCTTTATAAAAAAAATAAGGAACCAAATATATTTCAGCACATCGTTATGGGGATCGACATTCTTTTAAAGTTTCCAAACTCCAATTAAATTAATTCTATCAGAAAGTCTTCACCACTGTGTATCTCAAACTGCTGTATCAGTGATGCTTGTACTGGTTGATAGACTGCATGTGAAACATTGATCAGCAAGGTACAAAGAAAGCAATAACTCAACAGCAGGGATGTGATCCCGGTAATGTGTTTTAAAAATGCTTTAGTATTACTTATCAATTAATTTTTGTTTTGAATCACAATACAAAATAAGTTTTTCTTTGTTCAAATATTGGTGAAACTAATAGCACAGCCCCCTCACCAGGAAACAAACTTTAGGTAAAAATTTTAAGAGTAAATAATGCATTATTGTTTTAAACGCACAATGTGCACTTAAAATAAAATGAAACGAGCTGTTTAGTATATTTCAATAAACATTTTCCTTTTTATGTCTTATAATTAATCCTGGACATTTAATTTTGATAGACTTTCAATTGAAAAAATACATGTAGGCTATACACCTAGATTTTGTAACATTTTTCCTAATTTAACCAGAAAAGGGAGATACATGTTTATGTTAAATTAATGTAAAACAAATTAGGAGAAAAAAATAGTAACCGTCAAATATCAACAAAGGGGTAGCTTGCACTTTAATAGTAAAACCTAAAATATGTGCCGTTGTAATTCAGTTGTCATCAGTTACGCAGTGCAGTTATTAGTCCCCTACCGGTGAAACCGGAGGGGACTATAGGTTTCCTCTGAGTCTGTCCGTCCGTCTGTCTGTTTGTCTGTCCCACTTGGTTTTCCGCACTTTTTTCCAAAACGCTTGCAGATATTGAGCTGATTTTTGGTATGTGAGTGTATTTTGATGAGTTACAGATCAAGTTTGCATTTCTTTCCGCTTCAATGATTTTTGACGGAATTACGGCCTTTTCAATTTTTACGGGTTTTCCGCAATTTTCTTCTAAACGCTTGTAGATATTGAGCTGATTTTTGGTATGTGGCTTTACCTTGATTAGTTATAGATCAAGTTTGCATTTCGTTCCGCTTCATTGATTTTTGACGGAATTATGGCATTTTAAATTCTTACGGGAACCAGATTACACTTGCCGGTAGGGGACTAGTATTGCTAATGCAATACTTTCAGAATGCTTGTTACTCTTTGTCTGTTTGATATTATAAAGCTGTCAGCACCTCTTAATAGATTGGTCTGTTTTGGATAGGTGAGCAGGGTCATCTGAGCTTAGTTTAGATGCTGTTTATGTATTACTTAGTGTTTGCTTTAAAAACATTTCTAGGTGATTCTCTGTTTGATATTTAGAGGTCATTAGATTTCTTTTGTTTCTTCCAAAATGACATTGCAGGGGCGAGATTGTATGCAAGAGAAATTGTTTTGTTCTCTGTTTCTGTACTGTTATAATACAGACTCCACTCCACGACTCCATAAAACTCCACTCCACTCCACTCCACTCAGCTTTTACCCCAAGCCGTTTTTAAAGCAGGATTCATTTCCAAGTTACTATAAGCCCTATATTGACCACACTTGCATGGATGATATGTCTTAGGATGCACACTACCACGCTTGCTTCGGATGCTGGATCTGACCTACATTTTCCGGATGAATGACCAGGTTAAAGTTTTTAGAGCAGGTCTCATTTCCAAGTAAATATAAGTCCTATATTGACCAAACTTGCATAGATGATACATCTAAGGATGCACACTACTAGACTTGCATCGGATGCTGGATCTGACCTACACTTTCCAGATGACTGACCAGGTTAAAATAAACTATAAGGGCTGTCCGAACCGAACTTGCATGGATGATCCATTACAGGATGAACACTCTCAAACTTGCTTCAGATGATGGATATGACTTACATTTTCTGGATGGGTGGCTAGTTTAAAGGTTATAGATAAGTCCATTCCCAAGTAACTGCAAGGCCTATCAGACCAAAATTGCAAAAATGTTACATCTAGGGATGCACACTACTAAATTATTAGTTTGTGGAGGCCAACCCAGGCGGGTGAATGATGTTTTGGAACCCCGACGTTTCGGGACCTGACAAATACGACGTTTTGGGACTAGCGACAAGACGGTTCGGGACTTGGATTAAATTTTTTCAGGATTTACATAAATAATTATAGAAAAATGAAATTAATAAATGAAATTTGTGTGAAATTTAAAATGTTGATAATGTCAATAATGAAATATTTAATGTTAACCACTTATAATTTTATTATAGGTAAAGCAGACCTAAGCTGTAAATATCTTTACCCAGTCAGCCCCACGGGTTGTCAAGGAGGTGATGGCAGAGAGTTTTGATATCGATGCTTCTCATGCCAGTAGACCCAAAGCATCCAACCTCATCAGGGTTGTCAACAGGGCTAGACTCAACATGAGACCCAAGGACCCGAGAGATTTAGATTTTGAGGTATGATTATTAATGTAATGCAGTGTCATGAAAAAAATCAACCATAAATTAACACAAATAAAAGGAACACAAAAATGTAGTATAGTTATATTTAAATACAATATTTACAAATTAATTATGTCCAAATTTAATTTCAGCTTCATAGAGATATTTTGGATAGTCAGATGCCAGCCTTCAAAGCCTTGGATGTCTATGCATCAGGTCAACGCCACCTCTTGATGTACACCCAACATCACCTTGACCTCCTTTCCCAAGCAAAGACATGGTATATGGATGCAACATTCAGAGAGAGAGGTTGAAGTTCCCTTTAGAATGTGTGCCAGGGAAAAAGAACACATCGATAAATTGAAATTAGCATTAGTTTTCCATTCTACAATTTACTAAAGGGGTTTTAATGATACATATGTTTTAAGATTATAAAACAAGGCTATGCGATGTTCAACAGCTATTTTTGTTTAGACAATGAATTTTTAAACTCGTGTATAGTTACATGTACATGTTTTGATATTTAATTTTTTTTTCAAAAAGTGTAAAAGTCTATTATAACTGCGTTAATATTTAGCAAATCCAAACTTAAGTGATAAATAACAATATTAATATAAAAAAAACACATGAACTTAAATAAAGGCACAACTTACTATTGATAAGAAAATACACCTCCCGATTGTTAAAAGACATTTTAATGGAATATTCGGCTTTGCATATTTTTAATTCATCCTTTCTTTCTATCACAAACATTGGCGTCTCCCCATCTTCTGATGTCTGTGACCGTTCACGGTAGCTCAGTCGGTAGAGCGCTCGCTCCGTGATCGGAAGGTCGTGAGTTTGAATCTCGGCCGCGACTGACCTCAGTCGATAAAAAAAATGGGTAGCAACTATTCCTTCGCCATGCGTTCGGCACTTTGAAGTGAAAGTTGCGGGTCCTTCGGATGAGACCTTAAAAACCGAGGCCCCGTGTCACGGCAGGCGTTGGCACGATAAAGATCCCTCACTACTCAATGGCCCTGAGTGCCGAGTAAAGGTCGAAATTTGAAGCTCTTCGTCGGTATATGGTGACGTCTCTATATGAGTGAAAAATTCTCGAATGGGACGTTAAACGACATACAATCAATCAACAATCCGATGTCTGTGTAATCTGGGCTCTTGGAATAAGTGATGACTTGAAAGTCATGATGATGTTTGAATTGTGCTTTGTGTTCCCATAACTCTATATGATAAACATTATTTCAGTATTACTTATGAATTCTTAATTAAATATAATTATTATCATTGAAAGATAACAAATTTAAAACTTTGGGCATGTATTTAATTAATAAAAACCAAACGAAACATATGAAGTCTGAATCGTGAAATTTAAATTACAATAAAACTTTTAATATACAATGTATATTTTGATTCATTACTACCTTGTGTAAAGCAAAAGTTAGGTCTTCATCACATTCGCACCAAACTTTACTCTTTCCTATGAAACGTTTAAACAGTCAACTTGAAAAGGTCAAGGAAAGTCCATTTTTTGATTCCTCGACACCAGAATACAGGCTCGGATCTCTGGTTATGGACATTGCAAATCATCGGATTTTTAAACCGCCACGTTTAACAGAAGAAAATGCAGCTAAAACAACCCGTTTTTTCCCCTAAACTCCAATATGCCAACAAAGGTATTTACGCTGTTAATATACATGTAAGTAACAAGGGTCCAGTCTTGTATTTCACCGTATTTCAAATTGAAGACTAAATCTTGTATTTCCTACAAATATACATCGACTATTGCTTCCAAACGTTTTTTAATTAAAAGAAAACTTTACAAACTTTCTAGTACAAGAAAACTTTACAGAGCCTAGATACCGACTATCTGAAACATAATCTTTCTTCCTGCTTATGTTCTTCACCCTACAACTATAGTCCTGCTTGATATTTAATTATTTGTGACGTAAATATAGCTAATAATGAGGACTTAAAATCATTGATTTAAACAAGTTGATGAAACAAGAATATCAGCACTCTTGTTTAAAGTCGTCATTCCGTAAGTTCTATGGTCGATACAATGACCTTGTCAGCAAAAACAATCTTTCATTAATTCAAATGCTGACTGACGTGTTTCATACTAATAATTAGGCCATTATTTATAGACTGATTTTTCGACGGATTTTTCCGTTATTTCCCGATGAGGACAAGGAACACACGCCGGGTGTGACCGGTCGGCAGGGGATGCTCACTCCTCCATGGCACCTGATCCCACCTCTGATATCTTAGAGGTCCGCGTTTGCTCTGCTCCCATTTTGTAATGTTTAATGGACTTTTGAGCTCGAATACTGTTCGTTATCTCCACATATTTCATGATATTTGTTTTGGCAATAATATACTCCGTACAAACTGTTATAGAATTTCTTTAGCAAATTTTGTTAGTAATTATATGTCCTTAAATAATGTGGATCAACTACAACAATCAGCATATTCATGTCTTTGTTATCAGAGATTGGCGACCGAATACCAAGATGTAAAAACGTGATCGAGTACTGAATAATTATTTACTTCATTATATGAGGACTGGCTGTATTTTAATTTCATTAAGACAAATTAGAGAAAGCATGTTACGAATTTTTCTTTATCTTAAATCAATGTTTTCTAAATGTTTAAGTAAACCATTTTGTGTTTCATGAAGATACACACGGCATACATTCACAAAAAAATCTCTTGAAAAACGTCAGTTTCTCCTACTTTATTTAAAATTCTAAGTTTGAAAAATGAAATGTGACCCTTTTTTTCTTTTTCTAGAGTCGCCCGCGTGGCACACTGGTTAGAGCTTCTGCTTTAGAGTCGCGGAGTAAGGAGTTGATCCTTACGTCGCGAGTTCGAATCCCACTGCGGGACGTGGAGACCGGTCCTCCGGATGAGATCGTATAAACCGAGGTCCCGTATCGCAGTAGGTGCTGGCACGAAAAGGATCCTTCACTGCTCAATGGCCTTGAGTGCCGAGTATAGGTCAAAATTTGTAGCCCTCCACCGGCAAGTGGTGGCGTCTCCATATGAGTGAAAAATTCTCGAGAGGGACGTTAAACAACAAACAAACAATCAATCAATCTTTTTCTAGATATACAAAAAGAAGATGTAGCTGCAATTACCATGCAGATAATTTTAAGATGGCAAAGCAATTTCACTGAATTTGAAAATTCTCTCTTTTTTTATGTTCAAGTGCATAAAAGGTCACGATTTATATTTCAAACATACAGGATTTTTTTCGTACCATAAGCATATTATACATACATTACAATTGATCTACCTAAAACGAAAATCTTTTAACAACGTGGACAAGTGGCTATATGAGCTGAAATGACCAAATAAGATAATGAGACAAAGGCGAATTAGTCCCGTAAAAATTCATAATGGAGAAGTCGAGAGAAGTAATATCGATGTCATCTTGAGCCAGTTTGCTTGTCTTAATAGCGGTATTTGCCGTGGTTTCCGGTGAGTGATAGAAGACACTCGACGCATCAACATATTTTGCACTGTTCCATTCAGACAATTTCACTGGGAAATAAAGATACATTTCATTGCTCGCCAACTTTCCGCACTCTTTAGCAGTAGCAGAATAGTTAGTTGTTTGTCCATCACTGTACCTCTGTACTTCAAACTTACAGCTCTTAAAAGGAAATTTGATTTGCGTGGAGTTGCTGGACTGAGGAAGGTCAAAATCTACAGATAATGTTTCAGATGTTGATGCAGACTGAACAGTTAATTTTCCAAAGCTTTTAATATCCATAGAAGACTGAAAGACTGCTTTATATTCTGAGGTGTCTTTGTCAAATTCGCTCACTGTAACAGAAACAGGTAAACATGAAAGTAAAAAAGATAGCAAACACACTTTTACGTCAAACTACAGTTGGAACATCGGTATTTCGAACACCGATATCTTTAGAACTCCAAACCCATTATTCTTTTAAGTATTTTACCCAGGATATCTCGGATATCTCTTAAGTTTGTTCTCATCCCGTTTAGTTTGAGATAACGAAATTTGACTGTGCATACATTATAAAGCAATGTTGTCCTTAAATAAATTAGTGTATCGTAATACACAAATTGTAATTTATCTTTTTTTGATATTTATCAATCAACTTCAGTCTAAATACATTTTAAGAGCGTGTCTCGGAGAAAACCAGGCAAAATCCAAGAACTGGTCATAAAGAATTAGATTTTCTACATATTGTGTGCATCCAAAGTGAGAAAATAAACTTTAACCAGAAGTCTCTGACGAGACTGTGGCTCTTCTGGTGTGTACGTAGAAGTACTTGAAAGTAGATGAGGTAATTTTGTGAAAGTCTGTGCCATGCAGATATATGCATAATTTATTACGTCTTAGAGATGACATTAGATATGATGAACGTATCAAGCATTTTGCTGAATGAATATGTTTTGAGATCCTTAATTATGGTAGGTATATTTTTTTTTGCCGAGCTTGATATTTTAGCGTGTTTAAAACCTATTATGAGGGTTCAAAACACTTGTATATCTTTGGAGATTTTTTTTACAATGAATTTAGGCAAAATTTGCTAAATCAGCCATTAATGCAGATAACCTATAAAGGGATGGGCAAAATATTTTTTAAAATATCATTGCTAGATTATATGGGTACAAAAATTTTAAATTATCATTCCATAAGCTCGACTTTTCCAATCCTCTTCTGAAAGTTTGGTACTTTTTAGGAAAAATGGCCTAAAGGTGATTTTCTTATCAAATATGAGGACTTGCAGCAAAAAATATATAGCGATTCGTGCGACCCATTTTCAGATATCATCAAAATATTTTGTATTTGGAACCCTTATTCCGAGCATATTGTGAATGCAAAATATCTGCGATTTACCTGAAAATTGCTTGAAGACAGTTTTGCATCATTTTCTCAGAAATAAGCTCTTAAAAATATAATTATTTCTAAAGTTAGAAAGTAATTGCCTTTGGTAAATGTTCCATCAATGCCAGAAAATGAAGCTGTCAAATCATGGGGCCCAAAAAATACGCAGCGGGTGGTTGCTACTCTCTTCACTTCATCAGGTAAGTTGCTAAAATACAGAGGCTGTATTTTCACCGTTCCAAATGGTCGCATCATTTCCTTCGTCACCTGTAGAGTATTTGAAGCGGTATTTTTGTTTTACGTCTCCTCCCTCAAACTGAAGAATTAAAACTCAGGCCACCTTTGAAGTAATGTTTGTTTGCCCTCTCCCAACTCAAGGTAAACATATTGGGTCGGTAGTAGATGGGAAATATTTTTCCCCAGAAAATTTCAACATACACGTTGAAGGGATGAGAAAATTCAAGAATAACAAAAATGTCGTTTCCTGGAGATCATGAAAAAGTTTGAGTCGGGCTATTTTCAGCCAGTTGGTCGGGAGAGGGCAAAAAACTTTTTTTAAAATGGTTCCAGTGTACATATGCAAGAATTATTGAGAACATGGAACCTAACATTACTACAGATGTCCAACTCAGATGCTCCTCAATAAATGTTCATTCAATCACGTAGATCGCGATCATATTACCGAAAAGCTAGACCCAATCATGTAATATAAATAGTTCGAAACAAATTCAATTTAAAATTCAAAAGAATTTGTTTCGATTCAATTTCAACATACTTAAAAGAAAAACAATTCTTTAATTTTCCTGATATTCAAAATCATGGGAATTTTTTTTTCAATTGAACTAACTTCATTGGAAAAAGTTATATATATATATATATATATATATATATATATATATATATATATATATATATATATATATATATATATGAACTCAAAAACATAATTGGGAAACCTCTATGCACACATTACCGATTAAAACCGTCTAATCTTAAATGACTGGCGTTAAGAAATTAAAATATGTGGGGTAAAATATTTGCATTCCCCTGTTTTCTTTGAGCAAGGCAAGTGTTAATATATTGTACAATTAATGCCGAAAACTCTTAGACTGTGTGCTTGAAATACTGAGGGAGAATTACTTTTTACAAGAAATTAAGTTTACTAGTAGATATATGTAGTGGTATAGTTTTATTTTGAATGAATTGTCCTGAAAATAAATTTCAAATCACCGATTATGTCTTTGTTTAAAGCTTCATATAGAAAAATTGTAATAAACTTACACAATCAATCGTTATGGTCTGCATCAAAAGAACACACGCCACAGTAAGAATCCCCATGGCTTGTATTATAGCGAGTTAACACAAATGAACTTGAAAAGCACCTATGCAAGCATTTTAAAGTAGCTTAAGCTCGGTCTACCAAAATCATTGAAAATTTAGCGATTACCAACAATTACTATCGAAAGGTCATACATATATCACCAGTCCGTCAGTTGTCGAGATTAACAAGTTAATGAAATGTCGTTACATCGTTTACTAGGGGTAAATAAGAATAATAACTGGAAAACAATGACTAAAATTATAAAATTTTATAATATGACAAATTCCCACAGAGGCTAGTCACAAAGATTGTACGATCATTAGTGTCAAATTTATAGAGGCTTTTATTAACATAATAACGTTGTACACGTATATTAAGTGCTGTTAGTATATTGTTTAATTTATGCTGTTTATGTTTGCTTTATATGCATAAAAATGTTTTGTGCACTCGTACATGTGATAAAGCAGATGTATTGTCAGACTAGTAAATATTACCAAAATAATCGACTCGCGGAGTGAATTCAAATTCATTAATATTACACGCGCATTTACAGTTAGGTGTATCTTCAAGACTAATCCTAAAGCTTTTTCATGCATAATAATTATCGTTTGTATATTTTGATGAGATCAATTACCGTTCGTTGTCATTATTCTTGCAGCATGAATTCTACACAGTTCTTTTTTTTTTTCAATTTTTCATAACTTCTTTTAACATGAATATCAATCCTTATATATCTTTATTTCAGGTATGATTTCATATATATTCTGCTCCTGGACCGTCTTTACAGGGTGTTGCTAAAACGGAACGGAAAATCTTGTATCAAGTTATTTACTTCCTACATATATAATAAAACAGGAACCAGTATTCCTTATGTAATAGTTCATATCTATATAAAAATTATTAAAGTGACACTGTGACGGACAAACGGGAAAATTGAAAACAGTAGAATTTTTGCCTGACACTTGCAAATTTTGTTCAGTTCTTGAAGATATTAGGTTTCAGAAAATTACAAGTTTCAGAACCTAAAAAATCTAATTTAATGGAGAAAAATAAAAGTAAAAAATCTTTGTATAACCCATTACAAAAATATTGCTTCACTTCTTCCTCTTTATTGTACGCATGCGCTGAAAAGTAGAAGAATTTACCATGGTTTCAATTCCATAGATATGAAAGTCGGATTACTGAGAATTTTGTGCAAAAAAAAAAACAAACGACGGCATCCTAACATCCAGATGTGTCTTAAACTTTTTAGAACCCGACACTCTTAATGAAGCATTTGGTCAATTGGTTATATGTCAAAATTACTTAAGAGTGTTTCGGCGGTATTAATAGCACATGTCATTTCATATTTGTAATAAGGCCCGCCTCATCAGGGGTTTACCTTATGCATAAATCAATCAATTTCTTTGAACTTCAATTGATTATAATTTGAATCTAATGATCAGATCACCTATATTCTTATGTTTACTGTATGCAACCATAGGGGTGTTGTGAATAAGTCTTTGCATACTTCGTCATCTTGTATGTAATCCCAATATTTCATAAGTCGTTTCCTTAACCCTTTTATACATGGGTTAAACTTAGTGACCAAAGCGTTGGGTACAGCCTTTTTGTTATTTTTCTTCTTTGGTTTTTTGAGAAGATTCATTCGATTTGCAGAAATAGTTTCTTGCATAATAGGTTCAATTTCTGAATGTTTATAACCTCTTTTTTCGAGATGAGTTTTGAAATCTTTAAAGATAGTTTGCAGTACAGTTTGATCACTAGTATTTCTCAGATGTCTGGTACATTATCCTTTAATTAGGCCCTTGAAAACTGATGGGCTATGAGCACTTTGTCTGTGCAGGTACTGGAAGCTGTTAGTAGGTTTGATATATGAGCGAATGTCTAATCGCTGGCTATCTAAGAATCTTGTTCCTTTGTAAATGGTAGTGTCTAAGAAATTGACACTGGTGTGAGATATTTCATAAGTAAATCTCAAATATTTATGACAAGAGTTACCTATGTCTTTTGACAAAAAATAAGTTTTAAAGAAATTTATTCGCGTAGAGAAATAATATACATGTACATGTTTTTAACGGATTTTTTTTTTCATTCTAAATAGAGCTGTAACAGTTGCTGCAAAGTTAAAATGTCCGTTGCTGAGAAAAAAAGAAGACTTTGAAAAAATTCTTATCCAAAGCATTGAAATATTCAACAAATCTGACTACCCTTTCAATAAATTTATGAAATTAAAAGAACAGTGCGATACCATATAAAATTATGTAAAAAATATAACGTCGAAAAAATGTCTTCATGCTTTGACATTCTTTTTTTTATGTGTACTTCAAAAAAGTTTTTAAATTTGTCATTTTTTTAATATTGTAGAACATTATTTTTAATATTTTGAAAAAGGAATCTTTAACTTCCCTTTAAAAAAAACACCAAAAAAAAAAAAAAAAAAAACACCAAAAAAAAAAAAAAAAAAAAAAATACAATTTACCAAAAAAATTAACGTTAAACTTCTCTGGGGAATTCAACAAGATCTTAGTTCAATATTTTATTTTAATAAAATAAGCAATGTAACGTTTATGCTTTTGAAATTTTTAAAAGGAAGAATGACTCTAAAAAAATTATTACTTTTGTAGTAAAATTCTCAAACATGTGAGAAAATGAGTTTGATTATAATGATGTTGCATTATTGTCATCCTATACAATATTGTTTCTCATTCCATTCTACAGAAATCTTTCTTCTGAAAAAAAAAACAAACTTTATTTTAGTGTAATTGATCATAAAGGTTTAAATTACATAAAGATTTATCATTTTTAGGGAGCGAAACCCACCAAATGCAGCAAAAAGAACTTGGTTTATTTTTTTTCTCATGGAAGGGTGATAAAAAAGGGGTGTGTATTTTCTTAATACTCAAAATAGAAATTATAAGCCAATAAAAGAGATTTTGTAATTTTCTTCAAAAGTTTATCAAGAAAGCCTGATCGGATGTACTTCGGTTGACAATGGTTTTATTGGGGTGAAAATTGTCAATGTTGCACTCCACAACATGCAGTATTTATATAATAAACCATGCCTAAGCGGAGGGCCGAATCCACACCTTAGCCAGCAACAAAAGGGAAAAAGTCGCCTTCAGTGCCCAAAAATCGTGCTTATCCTTCTTCGGCAACAGTGATTAACTATATTTTAGCGTCGGATATCAAAAGCGGACTCCCAACTCTAGTAAACACCGACAGTGTGAATTTATGTGGCAACAGTGGTGCAGATGTCAGTCATAATAGTAACCTGGACATATGTAAAAACACCCGTTCAAATGACAGTGCCAACATTACCGTTGTCTCTGCATCTAATGTTTTCATTCAACAACCATCATCAAGCTATGTACAGACCCTGAAACGTGCTACTACCCCAAAAAAGCGTGTGACTTTCGTGCGCTTTTCGTTTCGTGCAAACCGTGTAGCGTTTCGTGTAAACCGTGCAGCGTTTCGTGCAAACCGTGTAGCGTTTCGTGTAAACCGTGCAGCGTTTCGTGTAAGCTCCAAAGCGTTTCGTGCAAACCGTGTAGCGAGCGTGCGAGAAGCGTGTGAGAAACGTGCGACTTTCGTGTAAGAACCGTGTGAGAAACGTGCGACTTTCGTGCAAGAATCGTGTGAAAAACGTGTAGGATTCATTCGGAAGTCATTTTATTTTAAATATGGATATTGATGGATCAACATGTCATTCTGTGTTGTTTGTAAGTAATATTATTCGCATATATTACCGGTGGTATAAAATAAAAATACGGAAACAACAAATTAAATAAAATTACTCGGTAATGTATTACATATTTGTTTGTTTTTCTTCCTTTTTTAAAAAAATAAAGATGGACATAAAATATGTTCAAAGTAATTAATTATATGTACATCAATTTAGAGGTATTTGATTCAATACATTTTTTAAAGGGGGCAATACTAAACATTTTTTAAAAAAGAAAATTCACCAAGAACCCGGTCTTGTCCTTTTCATTCATTCATTTGAATCTCTTCACCATTTTACAATTATGGTATATAAAGATTACAGGAACATATGGGTGATTAATACAAAATAATAGATAGATAAGGCAGGCGTGAAAAATAAAATACAAAATTTAGTGCGTTGCTATAAATGTGAAGTATGGGAATTCTAGGCCGGGGAGCACAGTTAATTCATTTTCTTTATAAACGAACATAATTTTCTTATATCACAAGATTGTGTTACAAATAATGTTGAAACGAAGAATCATTTATAGTCTTTTTATGCATACAATTGGTTAATAATTGTCACATAAATGAATTATAATTCACGTGCTTCGGCAAATACAGGGTAAATTATTTCCGGGGGGGGGGGGGGGGGAACTGAGCTTTTGTTGTTAAGTATTTTATATATAATTTTGTTTTTAAAGAAATCTATTGCTTTTTTTCGGGGTGCGCCCGATGCACCCCTTAAAAATATACTAGAATCTTCTTTACACATTACAACACTCTTCTTACGACAGTGATCAAGGTCATTCACAACAGCGATCACGGGCACCTCGTGCCGGGAACTGAAAACTTGTTCTGTTATTATCTCTTGTCAATCATAGCTAAGATGACACGGGACAATAACGATTGATTTTGATTAGTGAAATTAAATCGTTTTATTAGTATTTAATGGGTACAAATAAATACGGTCCGTGGATTTTATTTCTTAAATTTATCCGATTGTCTGTAAACAGTGAATTAATTTGCCAGTGTATTAGCGAATAAAAAAAATATATAGAAAAAAATCTTGAGTACAGTGTAATTATTAGTTGTTTTATTAATCACGCAATTACAGAGCATAATTTTTAGTTTTTAGGACATAGGACATGTACATACATGTATATTGAATGTATTGCTAAAAGCCGTGACTTTTGATTACTTTTTTTAATTGTCTAGACGGGGTTTGAAATCAAGGATTTTACAAGGTGGTGGATATATTGTTTTTATTTGATAAACACAATGCCTCAAACGAGAACGATTATTTATCATTCTGAATAAAGTGCATT